TACGTATATCTGTGTTGAACACAGCCACCAGAAAACGAACTGCAGAAGGTCGGTGAACGTGTGCCAAGTGAGCACGAATTAAGGGTACAAAGGTCTCTACAACGACTGAACGTTCCGGACTGGTACAAAAATTCTCCCACGGCTCGTGATGGTTTCCGATTAAAGAGGCACTCCGATGCATCTCAGCATGGAGGTTGGCGTGCGCTCGGCTCGAAAACCACCTCGTTGTCATCTCTTTCATCCTCCTCGAATAGGCAACCAACCACAGGTAAATGCACAATATGTTTTTTAGACTTCTTTTTTCTCTCTATTTTATATACCATGTACATTTACGTAAATTTTCCTAAACTTTCTACTCTTTCTAAGTAAAAAGGTTTATAAAAAAAACCAGTTGAACTCAGCTATAGTTAAGGTATTTATTGTTGTTTCTTAGGAGCACTATTAAGCCCTAGTCCTACACCTCCTGTATTCTCAAGATGGAGTACCAGTTTGCTAAACAGTGCTGGAAGTTCACCGGCGAGTTCAGCAAAATTATCGTTCTATCATCGGCAACCATATTTGGGTTGGCGTTCGCAGGAACGGCTAAGCAACCCACGTACACCGGCGGAACGTCTCGCTCAGGGTATACTTTCTCAACTGCAATCGCCAAATAAGGTTAGTCTATAATTCATTCGTAAGGCTAACGAGCGTAAGACCGATTTGTCTAAAGGATAAAAGATTTACATTCACCTTGCAGCAACAGCAACAACAACAGCAACAGCACCATCAACATCAGCACCAACAACATCAGCATCACCAACAACAGCAGCAGCAACAACAGCAACAGTCGCAACAACCACCGCAACAGCATCATCAACAGACGACGAATCAGCAATTGGCAGTGAGAAATTCTATAAAGGAAGTGACTTCAGCAATTGTGCATTATGTACAAAGCGGCCAGGAAGTCGACGGAAACGAAAGACTCTCTCCCTTGCCTCGACCAGAAGACTGGGAAGATAGGGGTGAAGTAAGATCCACCAGTCCCAGAGGTGAGCACTAAACCCCGCCAAAAACACCTCGTTACCACGAACGCACTATCACCATTTTTGTTCTGCAAAACACAGGTAAATTTTTATTCTTTCGTCTTTTTTGCATTGAATTATTATATATTTATATACATATTGTTTATATTCTATCTTTCTCTTTGTTTCTCTGTCTCTCTTTCTCTATCTTTTTCTCTTTCTCACTGTCTCTCTGAGGAGTAAGTCGTCTCTAATTTATATTTCTTTATCTTTTATCACTGTCGTTCTCTTTATCTTTTATCTATCACATGTCCATGCATCTTTACATTTGCACACACACATACACACATACACACACTTTGTCGTCTACGACTTTTCTATTATAATAGCTAAATAATAATTTCATTTAGAATTTATGATTATCAAACGAAAGCTTTTTATCTTTGGTTGTTCGGTTTTTTATCGTTTAACGATGGATCATTTTATTTTGTCTATCCTTATAGCTATTTCATAAGAATACTTTTTCCATAGAGTACTACTACCCATACGTACTCTATAAATCGCAGACATTGTTATCCACATTTGTTGTTATTTGTCGGTTCCAAATTTTGTGTTCCTAGCAAAAAAAAAAATACTGTGTACAAATTTTCTTTCGATTTTTTACTTATTTATCAAGGAAATGAGAAAAAAAGAAACTGATAAACTATTATATCATCGTCACACACATGCTCGACGTGGATTTTACGAGCGTCGTTTTGTCGAGCATCGTTTATTTTTAACGAGACGTCGCCGAAGACATTTACGCAAAATTCAAAATAGGTGAGCGAGAATTTAAATGTCTCTAAAAAACTTCTTACACATGTTTTGTACGAAGACGCCACTTCAAAAACGGAACAAAGCTACGCGGATAATCGTCACCTTGATCTTTTTATCGAAGAGAGAAAACAATATGGGTCAGTGTTTTAAAAGCCCTATCATATATATAGATATATATATACTTGTATATATATATATATATCATATATATAGATATATATACACATCGATTCGATCGCGAAGAAACACTGCTTCTTCATGTAATTAAAATAGAATGATGCCAGAATACATATTACATAATTTCCTGACGAAAGAATCATATATTACTTACGTTCGCAGTGAAATGAATTTCGAGAGAATGATCAATTCCATAAGCGAGAATAAAGCTTATATAAATTCATGGCAAAAACGACGAAGAATTGATGGAACATTTTCTTACTGTAATACAATTTTCAACTACTAATATTTGTTCCAAGGAAAATATCGAACGTTATTAACTCCTATGATTAATTTCACTCGTACTTCGCAAAATGATCTTATAACTTTTATTATATATATATATATATATATATTTATGTTCATTCCTTTTACTATCACGATTTATTCTCCTTTTAATGAAATTAAAATAAACAAATCAATAATGCAAAATTCATTTGCGAAATGCGATGATAATAATGGGACGTGGTATTTCTCATCGATTTCTTTTCTTTTTCAACACATTACATTCTCTACTTTCTGTCTTTATTTCTAAAAACGGTGTTACTACTAACGAACGTCGACATTCACCTAATTAATATGTATATGTCATAAAGGTCACGCGTGTGGGTTCTTTTTCACTTATATATATGTATATATATACATATATGTATATATACATATATGTACACGTGAGAAACGTTACGATGGAAAGAAAAATAAAACATTTTTAGCGACTGAGAAAAAGTAAATAAGTTGCGATTCAAAAAAAAAATTAAAAGTTACCAAATTGTGTGTAAGATAATCCTAAAAAAGTCGTGTGATCTATTTCATCGAAGGAAGCGCGAGGCTCTGCTGGATGGAAAGTTCGTTCGTTGGTACGAGACCTATGGATTCGCCGGAAACTCCGATGAGCCTGGCTACGGATACCGAATGTTGCGTCGGGTGCAATGCTACCGGTACAGAATCGTGCAGTTGCATGGACTCTGCAACTTCCGGTCTTTATCTAGACGTTACACCGCCACTCGATGATGCACAACCACTAATGTACGGAAGTTTCCGTGGCAGTCTCTGTCCGTCACCTTCGTCTTCATCCGCCAATTATAATCATCCTCAGATATATCAACAACGGCAACAACAACCACAACAACCACAACACCATCAACAACAACAACAACAACAGCAACAACGACATCACCGTGGTGAGTTGTTGCTCGCCTAGCGGAAAACCAAAATCAAAACCAAAACAATAATAAATAAAAAAAAAACAGAGCTGAAAAATGTCGCCAAAGCCGCCAAAAAAAAAAACGTAAACGAGAAATGGAAATGATCTTCTTCTTCGGATTATTATTAATCGCGATAATATAAAATACCTCGAATTTCGGACAATAGAAAATACCAACTCTTCGTAACTCCTTACTTCTTCATTCATTCGTATCAAATTTATTTTCTTAGGCAAGAGCGATTTTTCTTTCTCTCTACTTATCTCTCTCTCTCTTTTTATTCTTCAAATATTTTCTATTTTTCAACGAGAAAATTCCTATATATATATATACTCGTACACATACAATACATGCGACTTATATATCGAGCAATCTTTCGATTCTCGCTTTTCGCACATTTTTTAAAATACACCTAATATCATAATAAGGTTACGCTAATATTAGTGACCTATTAATTGATTTCCATATCAGAGAGAACCCCGTGGACTCTAACAATATGTATAAATATTTTTGTTTCATGTATAATGATGTTAGCTATTTTCTTTATTAATTTTTATGACTATTTTCTTTTCTTTCTCTCTATTTAGTATCATTATCCGATAGTAGAGATTAGAAGTAGCAGGTAAATAGAAGGGAGGATGATAATACTCCCTCTATTCTCCCCCAATTATAGTGCAATTTTTTACACACTTCAAACAACAAAGATTTAAACTTTTTAGATTCATTGTTTTTTTCTTTTTTAAAATAACAGTTATCCATGTTGCGATCGAAATTCAATTGTATGTTTGTTGTAATTGGTGGTTATTATCACGTCTTTCATAGATTTAAATTTACAATTTAGATCGCTAAATTATAAAGCTATCCCTGATATATCTTATGTCCAGTAAACGATTCGCGATCATGCACGCAATTAGCGTGTCAACTTACGTACCTGGATGTGCCTCTTTTGCTATTCGTTTCTTCATGAACATCATCAATCAATCTATTTGTATGTACAGCGTTTACAATTATTTTTGCTTTAGCAATGCGCTGATCGCTTTTCATTTATTCGTTTATTAGAAGAATAGTTATTGAAAATGATCAATGGATGATACAAGAAAGCGATTAGGCTATTTAAACAAAACAAAATATTTAAAAACAATTCTCTATTCTTCTGCTTGAACGTACGTACAAAATATTATCATAACGTGCCTATGAAGAAATTCACAATATAAATAGATACAAATATAATATACTATATTAGTACGCGAGGAATAATTTTTTATCTAGTTGTTATTATTATGATTATTATTATTATTATTATTATTATTATTATTATTATTATTATTATTATTATTATTATTATTATTATTATTATTATTATAAGCGTCGAAAGTAATGTGCATGCCTACAAATGTGTGCGAAAGAGCATCCAGTGCTTTTCCGAGAGTATGTACATAAATAATTTTTTCATTAAATTAGGCTAAACTTTGTTACAATCTATATATGCTATTTTCGTTACATTAGATTATAGTATTATCGATTATAATAATTATGGAACGATCCATGACATATCGCCAATTAACGTCATTTTTTCACGAACTGAAATGAACAGCCAACTATTAGTATAATAATATTAATATCTTATTTTAGATGAATTTTTTATAGTTATTCAATGTATATACATACATAGATATATGATGTATATTCATATATTATATATGTGTATATCTGATTAGTACAATTATTATAGAGACAGACTATTAATGGTGCATTCACGCAGTGCTTTCATTAACAGTTTCAAATAAATTTCGTTTAAATAGATCGACGAAATAATTTACATTATTAGAATCGTCTAGTACAATCAGTTTACATATCGTTCTTCTAATTTTCAGTGAAACTTGTTCTTCGCGTTATATAATCGACGGGTGCTTCACAATCCCTTTAAGTCGCTCTTTAAAATATTATATATATATATATATATATATATAATACATATCGTTAAAATAGAGTCGCGAAAGGGATAAAACTAAATAATTATAGTTCTTTATTTCTATAAAAAAAATAATCATTTGTATTTGTTATTAATCGTTAATCTTTTTAAAAATCATGACAATATACGTTCTCACTTAAAACAAGCGAGAAATCTTCCGATATTTCTCTACGTCCGAGCGATCGCAACTAAATTGTGCGATTAAAAGTATGCAAATGCACACATATCCTAATTTCAAATTCAATTCTTCTTTTATGCTACGCCGATAAAATGAATTTTTTTTTGTTTTATTACTTTTTCTATTGCACACTTATATATTTTTATTCTTCCTTTTTTGTTTTTTCTTTTTTATATATAATAATATTACACAATCTATAAACTTAATGAAAAAGGATTCTACATTTGTATGTCGTACGAAAAAAACCGTTTCATTTTGTAAATTAGATTTCGTGTGTTCACGTAACTGAAATAATACAGTATTTGTTAGAAAAGGTCTCATTATTTCCTTTGTCGCACGAATTTTTATGATATATTAATATAAAGCTACACGAAAGGTCCACCTATTTTCTTTATTAATTACCACATTCTGTGCTCTCTTTATAATTATAATTACGAACCTATATAAAAAGAAAAAAAACATTTAAAAAAAAACAACAAAAAATACAACAAAATAGAAAAGAAAAAGAAGATTCTATTAAACCATAAAACGAACTTTAATAATAGTACTCGTAGTTAAACTGCTTCTTCTTAGGTGCATACGTATAATATTCACTATAAAATTGATTACGTTTTTGTGCTGTATAAAAGTATCGCTGCCACAGTATTGCATATATACATACTGTAATTCAATTTTATTTATGCATACTTGATAAATTTACTGCGTGAATATGCATATACATATATAAATATATATTTTACATATATAATATACAGTATGCATACATGTAATGTATGCGTGAAAACGTACACATTAGTGGATAAAATGTGTGTACATATATCACATGTATTACTCATTATTTGTACGCTATAGCTGCAGCGACGTTATTGTTATATTGTTGTTGTGTTGTTATCTTTCTTCTTATTCTTAATTATTGATATCACTGTTCATTGTATTATTGTTTAATATCGCTATTATTATTATTATTATTATTATTATTATTATTATTATTATTATTATTATTATTATTATTATCATCATTATTATTATCATTATTA